TTAGGTTGTAGGGGCAGGTCTTCTCTACATTTTGACACCATCCCGAGGTCCGTATCATTAAAATTGAAAACAAAATCTTTGACACACGGACACCTACTTTTTGACCCTTGATGTTACAATAACTCGCAAAAAACTCAATATTATGAGCTTAAATTTTTACTGAAAACTATCAATGGTCAAATACATATTCAATAAAAATTTCAGTAAGATTGACTGTTCTAGGAAAAAAAATTTTAGAGGGGAAGGGGGCCCTTAATGCAACTAATGAATATAACTCTCTTACTTTACGTTCAAGATAATTACCATGTTTACTTTCATTTACACTTCTACCATCAAATGATGGTGATCTATCTCATCGATTATGAAAGATAGTATGATCGAATCTTGAAAACTGAAAAGAGAACAAAGTGAAAATGCAGAATGTATAAGATCGAAACACAAACTGTCGAAAACCTGAAATGTTAAGTCTGGCAATTCAAAACGACAGTAAAATTTTGTTTTTCATTTAGTTTTGTTTAATTGGATAGAGCTCATCAAGATAACTAGAAAAAACTCACTTTTGCGTAAGAACCTTTAAAAATGCTGATTTTTTCGAAAAGAAAACAAAATAAGCGAAATTTTCATGTCTAATGTCTTTTCAAAATTCCAAAACTATTTGTATCTGATTTCCTATGCAAAACTATATCTAAGATAAGTTACTAAATTTGAAATTTTTTAAAATAAAAATGCCTTTAAAGGTCAAGAAACGGGAGCATAAAAATCCACTGTTCATCTTGCACTTTTCGCGTCATATTTTCCTCACGTGATTACTAGTGAAAGTCGTAAAACGGTGTGCGGACACATATATATGAAAAGAAATTCTTGCTCGTGAAAGAGTGTGAAATTATAGAAAATTCACACGTGATCATGTATTTGCCGTAGCAGCTGCAAGACCCCAAAGCCGTGAAACTTCGACAAAATCTGCCCATAGGTGTGACAAGCTTTGCTAAGCGAGATATATCATTTATACTGAGTATGATAGTTTGGAAAATAACAAAAAACGTTCTTTTTCGAACCTTCTCTTTGCTTTCCTTATTTTCACAACATAGGAAATACATCTATTGGTACAGACTGATCTCGCCTATTTAACAGTGAAAAGCATTTTTCAGAAAAACGAAAGATTACTCAGCACCAGGTTTTATTTCGTAGGTATCACCCCGATGCATGCCGCGTCGATCAACCTTTTCAGTGTCTTCAACAACCACACAGTTGAAGAACTAAAAATACAGAGAAATATGCACCTTCTGATGCTCTACAAACTGCTATTTTGCCATGTTGAATCGATGAAATTTTCCAAAATGGGGGAGTATCCTTTCTCACCACAAGGAATTACATTGCATTATTGATAATGCTCAATGATGTGACACCATTAGTGTCACGTAAATGAAATGAATGTCTAGAAACGACACCGAAGCCAGCAACAAATGGTATAAGAAAATGATGACTGTAGCCAAAACTGGATCCGAGAAGAGTCAGAGGTGCCAGCGTGAGGCAGAATCACGAATTACGCTTCTTTCGGCGATCGTACGGCATGTTCGGTCTTCAACATAGAAACTATGAGCGTTTAGCTGTAGAAATACAGTTTGTCTTTCTGTAGAAACTATGAGCATTGAAAACGAATGAATTTTTTCAATCTATTTTTCTGTACTTGAAACAACTAGTAAGGTCTTCCGAGTGATCTAATTGTACATCCATCTAATGACGTTATCTTGCAGAAATATTTGAGATATCCAATATTCTGTCTCGAAAAAACACAAGGTCAGACCAGGAATACCGACAGTGCAAAAAAATTTGAGGAAAAATGGACATCCTTCTCCCAGAAAATTTCAGCTTTATTGTAGAATTGATAAAACTATTGGATTTTTATCCATGTTTTGAATTTATGTGTTTTTACGCTTCCATAACAGACAAAAATATCTTCAATCATCGAAACAACGTTTTTTCTATTAACCTTCAGTTTTTTAATCTTTTGATGCGCAAATACAAATTGATATACTTGAAAAGGATTAATTCCAGAAAAAAATATTTAACGTCTTCCCATCACTATGAGAAATAGGCTAATTATTTGAAACAATGGTAAGTATATACTCATAGCTTGAGACAATCTAAACGAAAAATTGTCTCTATGAAAATCGAGCTGCAATAGTATCAGAATTATAAATTCTCCAAGTAGTAGTAAGAACTTGTTTAGAGTGACAGTACTGATGTGTCAAAGAATAAACAGTTTATAGAAGACAACATTGCGTGAGAAAACTCTAACTCCAGTCTCCAGTCTCATATCCGAGCGGGGCGTACATTACAGACGTATAGGCTTTAAGGAGTTTCATGATCCTTAGACATAGATGTGCGGAGCTGGAACCGTACTCTGTCCCGCGGGACCAAAACACTTTTTTCCGACGAAACCAAGACCGGGATCAAGACCTCAATCTCTGAGATAAATCTTTACCTCATGATACACGTCGATATGCCGGCTCTTCAGCGAATTTTGAGCATAGAAGTGTTGAAAATTTTCAAGTTCTCTATATGTTTCAATCACCAACAGGACGAACCAGACAGTATTATCTGGGAATCTACTTGATGTTCCTTGTTTTATTCTAGTTTACCTTGAATGCGAGTCTATGCTCGATCCGCCTTTCGTACTAAAGCATGTAACTATCTTCCGTATAAAACTAATTTTCGGACTCACTTTCACACTGCTGTCCACCCTCCATCCATAACAACATCTTTCATTATACGATGTAGCTGAGAAAATGGATACCTTTTTGTTCTAGAAACAAACAGGCGACAGAGCCATGTCACGCTATAAGATCATCGGCGGCCCTAAATTTTCAACCGATTCAACTGATACTAAAAGTAGATGACAGTCTTTTTGTTATAAAGGATTTTGTTTTTTCCCAAACTTATAGTGTTTTCCAAATCACGATAGTTGAGTTTTCAAAACTTCGGAGGCTTGTGATACCTCTTAGAAACAAAAACAAACACTCCTGAGATAGTGTCATCGGATAAAATCTCAGGAGGCCAGCAGCTTTGTAGATGAATGGCAGTTTTTGTTATAAAATTCAGAGATTTTCTATTTTCTTAGGGATCATCCCATGTAGTCAAAATCGGCAATTAATCCACAATTGTTTAACGATTTTTACCGGGCTCCTTGGTTTAAAGCTGACTCACATTGAAACAATGAGTCATCTCGGAGGAAACTACAGAGAACACTCTTGACAACTACGTTTTAAGTTAATCTAAAAAGATAATCTGAAAAGAAGAACATTTCTCGTAGAAATCGTCTTTCTTACACCCTTTTAGGGGTTTTCGTACCTATCAAGTCAACAGAGATAATCAAGTAGCGCACTCTCAGATCATGTGCACCCCATCTCTCATAGACCTATTACGAAATGTAATATAACTAATTTATACGACGAATCGTGAAACAAAACTTAGAACGAAACTAGAAATGAATTTTAACACAGCGGACAAAGAGAGATAATCGCAATATCCCTTGTATAACGAACGGTAGTACTGCCGATCTCACTACAAGAGCATATATCAATATATCAATGAGCATATAATTCATTTCTAGTTTCATTCTAAAGTCTTGTTTTACAATTCTTCTCTTTATCAAGTGACCTAGCGGCTCAAAACAGGCATGTTAAATCCTCGACAGAATATATATATATACTCCTGTAATGAAGTCGGTAGTAGTATTGTTCGTTGTACGAGGGATACTGTGTCAGTATTCGAGACTCCGATAGTTAAATCATTTATGTGAACTGAGAGTGTGTTTGATCGTGCCTCGTAGCTCAGAAAAAGAGCATTAGTCTAGAAAACCAATATTACTGGATTCTATCCTCTATCGAGGTATTCCTTTTTTTTTCACGTGTTTGTCTATCAGATTCTTTCTCTTTATTAGTCGTGTTAAAATTCATTTCTATTTTATGAGTTCGCAGCAAACTGCACATACTATGCTAATGTCATGGTGTCCTAACCTTGTACATATAGACTGGTAGGGATGAAAACGTACATGCAATCCATGTGAACTATAATTTCTTTACATTTAGGCGTTAGGTAATAAATTTAAATTTTGTCTAATTGCTAGCCTTACCATTATCATTATTATTCAGAACAGCACCTACTGGCTGTTGAGGCGATCGTCGTCATCTGATGATTTTCTGTTCGACATTGTTTACACTTACGTAAATGGCACTAGTGCCGAATACTTAAGAACAAAAGAGTACTGGTTTTCGATTGATAAAGTATTACTGGGCGACGATCGCCTTCAAGAACGTCACAGTATTGCATCCAGCCTATCAAAAGACAACAATGAATTGTGCTTTTCTCTCAGAAGTATTGAAAAATATATGCCCTGGTTCAACGGTCATATCTATATCGTAACCGATCAAATTCCCAAATGGCTAAATACTTTCAATTCTCAAGTGAGTGCTATTTCCACTCGGACAATCATGGATGAAATATATTTGCCAACATTCAATTCTCATGCAATCGAAGCCAATCTTCACAAGATTCCACATTTAAGAGAGTTCTATCTTTATTTCAATGATGATTATATATTTGGGCGACCGGTTTCGATAAATGATTTTTTTAATTCGACATGTCTAGTGATTTATGGTGACGATCGATTGACCTCAAACACGAATGTTTCATTAAACATCCATAAAAGGGCCATGCTGAACACGAATGCTATTCTCGATAATCAAGGATTCACGAACCGAACTCGTCACTTTCTTCCACATGCCCCACATCCGCTTCGAAAATCAGTTGCCGAAGAGCTTTGGTCTAAAACATTCAGTGAAATCCATCGGCAACAATCATCGCATCGTTTTCGGGATATGAGAGATATTCATCCAACATACTTTCTTTCACAATATTTACTCGAACAAGGGTATTGTGTGGAACAACGACGAATGAAAAGCACGTGTGTGTATGGTGAAGATTTTTGTAACCAAGTATTAACAAATAACTTGGGGAAAGTTAGACAATTTTTCGATAGACTTCGAATGCTATCGCTCATGCCAAAATTTTTGAGTATTAACGATCGTACAAGTTCAAATTATACAAAACAACATATTATTCACCGAGAATTTGAAGGATTTTTGAAAGATTTGTTTCCAAAAATAAGTAGATTTGAATCGAATGATTGTACACTTTGATGGAAAGAAAAACTTGAAAGAACTTAAAGACTAGTGAAAAACCTTGTTCTCTCATCCTTGTGAGTATTTCATTTCAATAGAGAAGATATACAGACTTATGGACTAGATACAGTGGAACAGTGGCCGCCAGCTGGTATTAACGGCTGAGAGCCTGTGGACTTCCTTTGACCAGATAATTTAACTTCAGTACAAAACCCAATGTAACGGTCTGAAAACCCGTCAACTGTGGCTACCGTTTATTCAAAAAGCTGTAATATTCATTTCTAGCACTTCTAAATGCTATTTCTTCCTGTCGGAAGCCTTAAGGGCTTACGTCACCTATAAGGAGACGTTGCTATCAACTTTTCGCTTTTTCCTGCAAATGGTGATAAGTTGATGATAATACTTCCACCATTTCAAGCACTTTTTCTCTTTGGAAGACTCAAAATAATTTCCCGCCATTTGAAATTCTGCTGCTTATTGCTTTCGAATCCACCCCGCTAACAGCTTCTTGACTTCAGAATTTCATGAGTTTGCATTTTTAGGAAATTGTCTTATAAGATACAGTTTTTACATAGAAATTATTTTCATTAATAATTTTTATGCCTTTTGTCACTTTTGTATTTTTGTCAAGTTCGGTTTAAGTTTATTAAAACTTAAAACGATACGATGGCGAGATATTGCTGTAAATACATTCGAGTATGAAGAAGATGTCACTCTACAATTAGGTACAAGTCTCACACCTCCATCTACTATGATTCAGATGCTACAGACAATCATCGAGGGCCTACCTATCGGCCAAACATAACCTCTGGTACTCTCAAAACCAGATGGTGCATAGGCGATTAGGCACGCTAACCACTGTGGCAAAGTTTGTTTGTTGTCCGGATTACGTAAACTGCAACAGACGAATTATTCGGAAAATATGATTTTTCTACCGTAAACTAAAATAAACATCTTGCAGCGCCTTCATTTATCAACGAAATTCCTTCAGATTAGCATAAAAGTTTAGTCTGATGTGTTTCATCTCTTCACAGAAACAAAAATACGGAAAACTAAAAGGTATCTTGAAAGGTTTTCTAGAAGTTCACCGAAGATTCTCACACAAAAATATAGCATGAAAACAAATTTTAACTTTCCTAAACTGCAGAGCAGGTGAAAGTGAGTGAATTTTGATAATCTGAAGAAATTTGATTCATAAATCAAGGCGCTGTAAGATTTTTATTTTAGCTTACAGTGGAAAAATCGTATTTCATGAATAATTCGTCTATTGCAGCTTCCTTAATCCGGACAATAAAACAAAATTTGTCATAGTAATCAGCGTACCCAATAGCCTATGTACCATCTGGTTTTGAGGGTACCAAAGATCATGTTTGACCGACCGGTAGGCTTCAGTTCGTGGAAGTCGAAGCATGTTAAAATAATGATTCTAAATTGTGAATTAATATGTGATTATTTATTACAATATTGGTTAAAATTTTCCAAGCATCTGGGAAAATTGCACAAGGCACTAGTCTTCTAATAAACCTGGACAACATTCAGGTTTGCTATTCAGTTAGGGAAAGAATGATGTAAGGTAGCTAGATTTCGGAAACAATAGCAAGTTTTCAAAAAAGACTAGCCGTAAGAGCTCACCACACCATCGTGAACTTTGTCAATATTCAAAACCGACGTTTTGCTGATGTTAAAACATCATCAATATATAGAATCATTTGTGCGTCTAGTTGGAAAATGGTTACGTTTAATTAGGTTTATTTTATTCTCTAGTATTTGAGAAATATTTTTGTTCATCTATAGGAAATACTTATGCTTTGTCGATGTCTACTGTTGTAGGAAGAAAACGAGAGCTGTAATTTATTAGTAGTTTCAATAATTGTAATTTTATATACTATTTTTGTACATGTAGTTGTGAATTTGTTGAAGCTTTTTTTATTAATAAGGAACAAATAGACTAGAGGCGATAAGAAAACATAGTGGGCTCAATTCACGCTCGCATTCTTTTGAATTTTTTACAATGTTTTTAGTAAAAGGCCAGCTGAATCATTAGAGATAAACACGGCTTCACACGCAATCCAGTCTCCTCCCTACTGAACAATTTTGAGTCTTTAATACAATTTAAATAAAATTAAATCTCGCTTTTTAGTGAATAATGCATGAGCATCCAATAAACGCGGGGTTTTTAACGTATTATCACGTTTGCAATATTCATAATACGTTATAATGTATTAATCTTCGATGCATGCTCATACATTGAGAAACGATACCTAATTAACATATATTTTTTACACATATTTTAATTTCAATGCAGTAGCACTCGTTTATCTCTCGAATGTGTGCTAACATGTTGCGGCCTTATAATATGGTAATACACATTAGTGAATACAAAAGACGTTTTAATGCTCTGTAATTCTTCAAAAATATAATGCATTCGCTTACGTTAATTGAAATGACGTTGCTAGGAAAGTTGCTAAGGGATCAACAATCAGACTTGTTTTTTTCTCTTGTTCGTTCTTTGTGTGACAGAATTAATCCACCTATAAAAGCGGCTGATCTTATTTAGTCTTTTGTTTTATTAGCTTTAGACTACTCTGCTGCATATTTTTCTACCGAGTTGAGAGTACCAACTTGATTTTTCTTTTACGCTGCTAAAATATATTTTTGTTTGTGACTAAAGATATCGATCAAATAAAACATGGATAGATATGCTTACATACAACACAGACAAAGAACAGAAGCATATGAATGTGCTTATCTAGGAGAAAAATCTTGAATGCAGATCTTGATACATCTTTAAAGATGTCTAAAGTTTCGCCTCAGATCTTTCAAGAACTTGTACAGATTTATCAAAATCTGTTAAGATTCTGAATGGAAGGCAATGCTCCAGATTTTCCACAAGTTTTGTGTCAGAATCTGTCGTAATAAATCTTGAGCATATCTTGTCAAGATATTTTAAGAATTCTGAAATGATTAATTTAATACGCAATAAACAGTATCGTCATTAACAGATTCAGGAATTTAAAAGAAAATCTTAAACTTTATTTTCTACTTTATATTTTTATTTTTTTCTCCTGTATCACTACAGTCCAACCTATACTATATCACTATAGTGTAAGCTCTACGGTACTATGCATACAGTACCAGAGCTGTTGAAAGTGCACCAGCAACCATACATTCAAACACAATTTCACTTTTAAAATTTTCAATGTTCTCCAGTGCAAGTATTATATTTCTTCTTATATATGCAAGAACAATGTCAAGAAAAAAAAGATTGACAGAATAACACATTTATTTGTCTACTCATTCGACCAACAGAATTTTAGCAACAGGCATTCATCGATTTTGGTTTTAAGCGATACAATCATAGCTATTATGATTGAGATCGGCGGCCCATCTATCTCTGAAGTGTTTTTCGATTTTTTGCTGTTTTAGTCAACGCACATATTTGTGCAAAACATCAACTTATGAATCTGAAAAAACACATTCCATACATTATGTTCTATTTTGTTTTCCAACACGACATTGTTCTAGGAAAAATAACACTTTGTTTAAAAAACTATAAATGTTTCGTCTAATCAAGGCTATATTAGCATTAAAGTTCTATCGTAGAGCGTAAATTAAAGTCTTTTTCTTAATGTGGCATGTAGAACCTGTATGTGGGACATTGAGGATAGAGAAGAGAACAAGCAATTCTCTTTGCTTCTCTCTCCATTTGTTTGATGAAAATTTTTCCTCTTCTTTTTGCGCACGATCTGAATATATGTGCATCTTGTCGCATGTGAGATAAAGAATTTACGGTCTACGATAGAACTCTATTATATTTTTCACTATAAAACACGGGACAGATAGATCATAAAGCAATACACTTTCATTTTCTATTTTTCGGATACTGAAATGCTTTATGATGATAAATGCTTTAGATACAAAATATTCAGCGTTTCTTTCAACAATTCCAGTCGGAAGATAAAATGAAATGCTCAGAATTGCCACCTCTTATACTTATATAATTCCTTAAAGACTAACATTTTTATTTCTATATAACTACATTACAAGAAAAGAAAAAAGTAAATACAGTAGCAAAGTAACTACACTATGTTTTCTATGAAACCGATTCATCCGAGACGTTTACTTTCAATGTGTCCTTACTCCAAATATTATTTGTCACAAGAGTCCATTGCCTGGCATACCCAGGTGCCCCAACAATACATGCATCGGTAGTTGAACCCGCAGCCACGATAACGACAGCTTTGGCTCCACCAACTGGAATAGACTCTTTTCTGCCGCTGTTGTTGTACTGATTGATAATTTTTAATGACGTGATATGATGAATCAGTTGTTAATCCATAAACAGCATTTGTCGCACTTGATTGACTAAGAGAAGCACTTATCATTGATGAATTAATAGCAGTGCCATTGACGGTTGAAAGATCAACTGAATACAAAAGAAAAATATATTTCTGATATCTATACCATTAGAATTTCCTTCACTTCATACCGCTTAGATGCTCTTCACATGAGATACTTTAGCGCGGAAAGCATAATGATCAAAACGATTTGATCTATTAACCATTTTTAAGAATTTTTACCACAAACAGACAATAGACCTAGCCTACCGTGTTGAAAATTATGAGAAAAAGTTCCTACTTGAGAAAAATTCTGCTATGCTGATAGCCAAAAGAATACAGAGAAAATGGACACTCCGTTTTTTTCAGATGCTGGGTTAACAACAAGAACTTTCTGAATATAAAAAAATTACGCCATTATCTCCCAAGGTAAGAATTGAGGACTGTCGAAGAAATGCCCACATTTGGCACCCGTATGAAGAAACAAATATACACCAACCTGCGATGCCAGAAATATGTGACGTATGAAATGCCAAACAGACAGCAATAATTATACAGACGATCATTCTTTTATTTAATAAGCGTGTTAGAATATAGAACAACTCTTACTATCGAATGTTTCTGATGAATTTGTCGAATATATTTATATGCAAAAAAAAAAGTCACAATACGGTCGGTCTG